AGGTCCGTCTAACGCACTCTCAAGTTGGAGAACCACTTTAAATCTCCACCCTTGGGGCGAGGCTTCCCACCCGTGTCACATGAGCCTTGGATGGGTTGCAGGTGTGAGGGTCCCCCTGGCCCAGCGGGGAGGAGGCCAGAGCCTGCAGGCTAACCACAGGCAGTCTTGTCTTTACCCTGCTTTTTGTTACATATTATTTTCTGAGTGTTGTGAAGGGGAAGAAGGCCAGAAAGCAGTGCCTCAGGGAACCCAGGAACTTCTCACTTATTTTTTAACTCGAAGTACAGTTCATTTCCAATGCTGTGCTAATATCTGCTGTGCAGTAGGGTGATTCAGTTATACATATATATTCATATACATGTACACATATATCCTCCTTTTAATATTCTTTTCCATTACGGTTTATCCCAGGAGATTGGATACGGTTCTCTGTGCTATACAGTAGGACCTCGTTGTTTATCCATTTTATATGTAATAGTTTGCATCTGCTAACCCCAGACTCTCAGTCTTTCCCTTCCCACTGGCAACTGCAAGTCTGTTCTCTCTGTCTGACTTCTCACTGGCTTAAAAAAAAAAACTGGTAATAATAATAACAACATTATTTTAACAGCAAGAAAATATTATTTACTGAATGTCCATAATGTGCTAAGCAATTTACATATATATATATTTGTTGAAATCTTATAGCCATCCTATGATCTAATTATTAGCCCCATTCTACAGACATGGCAAACAGGGCTTGGAGAAGAGAGATCCTCAAGGTCATCCGGTCAATAGACACAGGTGGTGTGGACACTCAGGTCTTTCTAATCCTGTGATGCCTGTGTTCTTAGAGGTCAGGGTTAACACCACTGCTTCTAACATTGTTTACTCTATGCCAGGCATTGTTTTAATCCGTGATATGCGGCTTCAATTACTGCAACTATGACTATTCCCACTTTACAGATGAGGAAACTGTGGCTCAAATAAATTAAATAATTTTCCCCAGGATATAAGCTGGAACCAGGATTTGAACTCAAGAGCTCTGGCTTGAATCTCCCTGGTGGTCCAGTGGTTAAGAATCTGCCTGCCATTGTGTTCAGAGCAAAGCCCAGACTGCCTGAACACAACAGCCAGGCACTGGGATGCCAGGAACCCGTGCTGGATGGATACAAGCTGACTAGTCGGAAGACTCCTGATTCTAAGCGTTTGTAATTTCTATATTCTTCTGGCTTTTCTGAAATTTCTTGGATTTCTTTACTGCACGTGTGTTGGTTGTTCTTGTAACTTAAAAGGGAAAGGATGAAAGAAGCGGAAAAAAAAAAAAAAAAAGAATTCACCTGCCCATGCAGGGAACACAGGTTCGATGCCTGGTCCGGGAAGATTCTGCAGCCCTCAGGGCACCTAAGCCCATGCGCCTCTACTATCGACCCTGTGAGTCACAGCTATTGAAGCCCCAGAGCTCGCGCTCTGCAACCAAAGAAGCCCCGCGAAGAGAACAGGCGTTCGGCACCTAGAGAGTGGCCTCTGCTCAGTGCAACTAGAGAAAGCCCTCACACAGCAATGAAGGCCCAGCGCAGCCGAATACACACATACAGACACACACACATAAAAAGGACCTTCCCTGAAGGTGGGGAGAGGTAGTATTAAAGTACCATCAAAAGTGGCCTCTCACTTATTAAAAAAAAAAAGAAGAAGAAGAAGTTTGGCTCTAATTGAACGCTTTTAACCATCAGGAAAGCCGCCCAGTCCATGGAGGATGGAGACGAAGACGCGGTGCTCACCGTTCAGGGATGCAGTAACTTAGCGACCTGCACCCTGCAGGAGTGCGGGCGGGCGCGGGGCTCCGGCCGGCGCAGGCAGGGGGTCTGCTGGCTCCTCCCCCAGCTGTGTTTCCGGCTCACACCTCCGCCCCAGGCCTGGCCAAGGTGCCGCCCGTCAGCGGCGCACGTGGGGCTGCTCCCCGCTCGGCAGGCTCTGGGGCACAGCTGCTTCTGGGTCACATTCCTTTACGCACACATCATCAGGGGCTGCCGCCTGCTCCCGCGGCCTGTCCCCACCTCGGGGCCACGAAGACCGTGAGCCCAGCAGTGAGACGGGAGAGGGCAGCGCGTGCTCCAGCCACGGCCACCCCACCACTGACAGTTTTGGTCAGAAGCCGGGGCTCGCGTGTGAGGAAGCTGGGATCCTGACCTTCAGGACGAGATGGGAAGAGCTCAGACAGTCAGAGAGGCACATTCTGGGATGTATATGATTTTTCCACACACACACATGCACGCAGCTGCTGGAGTCGGGTGGGGAGAGAACGGAGCTGGGGAGGCGGGGTCGACACGAAGCTTGAGTCCTGAAGTCATCTCTAATTTTGTAGCCTGTCTCCTGATGCTTGCCCTGGGCCCTTCTGCGGTTCATTCTGGCGTCCCCACCATCCCTTCACGTTCCTGGCTATTAGCATGGACCGGCCACCATGCTTCCCCCCTGCTCAAATGGAAAGGTCTGAAGTTCTAAAGAACAAGAGGGTCTCCTGGTGGTGGCGGTGGTGATGGGGAGGGGTGGTAAGCTTCTGATCACAGCTTACAGAAGGTCACTCCAGAAGCCCCTGGATATCAACACTTGTAAGAATCTGTGGACTTTAGAGGGTTCTGTTCCTTCTAGTCTAACCTTGCGGTGCTTACTACATCAGGTTGTTTGGAAGCATCTGGGAAGTGAGTGGGGCCGAAGACCATACAGAAGGTTTGCCCTCGGGCCCACCCGCTACCTTTCAGGTGCGGGAAAGGGGGACAGCAGCTGCTGTGGAGTGACAGAGACCAAGGTGATGTGTCACAAAGTGATGGCAGGCTGTGATCGGTACCCAAGGGATCCTCTTCTAAATCAGGTGTCAAGCTCCTTACGGGGGTCGAGGTGGGGGGGCGCAGGAACTATATCTTATTCGTCACTGCACCCCCCAGTGTGCGGATTAGATCCTGGCACAAAACTGGCACTCAATAAATAGTTCATGAGCGACTTGTCTGGCGGTCCAGTGGTTAAGACTTCACCTTCCAGTGCTGTTTGATCCCTGCTCAGGGAGATAAGATCCCACATGCCTTGGGGTCAAAAAGCCAAAACATAACACAGAAGCAATATTGTAACAAATTCAGTAAAAACTTAAAAAAAAAAAAGGTCCCCATAAGAAACCTTTAAAAAATATTTGATAAGAGGAAATACTGAGACCTGCTATGTCGTGGATGAACCTTGAAAACATAAGGCTAAGTGAAAGAAACCGGTCACAAAGGACCATATATGGTGTCATTCCATTTATTTTAAGTGTCTTGAGCAGGCAAATTTATAGAGACAGAGTGTAGTTGTTAAGGGCGAGGGAGGATGGGCGGGGGATTAGGGAGCAATGGCTGAGAGCAGCAGGATTTCTTTTGGGGGTAATTAAAATGCTCTAAAATGGATTGTGGTGATGTGAGTATATGGCTGACCCTTGAACCTGGGTTTCCGCTGCGCGCTCACTTATATGTGGACTTTTTCAGTAGTGAATCCACAGACGCTGAGCCCGCGCACACGGAACCACGGGTGCAGAGGTTCTGTGTGCGTGCAGAGCGGACTGAGAGGTGTGCTTGGATTTTCAGCTGCGCAGAGGGGTCGGTGTCTCACCTCCTCTTTGCTCACTAGTCAACTCTACTTTGTACATATACTTGATCAATTGATTTAGGGAAGCTGGGCATTTATAAAAAAATTATTATTTAGACTTTCCTAGAGCAGTTTTAGGTTCACAGTGAAACTGAGGGGATTTCTGAAATGCCTTCTGCCCCGACACATGCACAGACTCCCCCGTTACACATTTGCTACAGTTGTTGAACCTACACTGATGCATCATCACCCAAAGTCCACAGTTCAGATTCACGCTTCCCTCTTGGTGTCCTGAGTTCTGTGGGTTTGGACAGATGTATCTATCACGTATGCTGTGTGCTGCGCTTAGTCGCTCAGCCGTGTCCGACTCTTTGTGACCCCCTGGACTGTAGCCCTCCAGGCTCCTCTGTCCATGGGGATTCTTCAGGCAAGAATTACGGCAGTGGGTTGCCATGCTCTCCTCCAGGGAATCTTCCCATCCTAGGGATCGAACCCAGGTCTCCCGCATTACAGGGAGGTTCTTTACCCTCTGAGCCACCAGGGAAGCCCAAGAATACTGGAGTGGGCAGCCTGTCCCTTCTCCAGGGCATCTTCCTGACCCAGGAATTAAACCGGGGTTTCCTGCATTGCAGGCGGATTCTTTACCAGCTGCGCTACCAGGGAAGTCCATCTGTCATGTATAAGACAGAATATTATTCTAAAAATCCTCTGTTTGGGCATTTTTCAAAAAGTGAGATTTTTGCTACAATTCCATTTACTGCCTTAGCTCAAATTTTCAGCTAAATAAGTAAAAGTTAACTGAGGCATAGCCCAGCTACCTCATTTGGTTAAAAAATGTGAACAACAGTGAAACCAAACACAGAAATTAGGGGGTTCTAACTATTTCTACCAAGTCTTCCTGGTTCTGGACTAATATTGAAAACCACCTTTTAGCATAAATAATACAATTTATCTCTCCCTCAGTAGGGGTTTATCACCTTCATGCTTTCCAGCCTTGAACCTCAACCCCCTTCCTCACAAATTGCTGCCAAAGCTTGTGCCGTATTTTCTCAGAATGTCCTCTAGGGATGTGTGTGTGTGTATATGTGTGTGTGTGTGCGCCCGTGTGAATGTGCGAGCCGGTGTGAGCGTGTTTGCCTCTTCATCTCACCACTCCCCCAACTCTATCTGCAGACCCTACGGCTCCCCACAGAAACCACCAAAGATCATTTGGCTTCCTCCTGGAGATGCAGAAAGTGAATATTATGTTTTGGGGCAAATCCCAAATAGACCCCTCTCCAAATGCCAGTTCCGTCCCTATCAGTTTTACTCTCTCCTAACGGTGTGTTTGCCTGCATACCTTGCTTTATCTCTCAGAAGCCCGAGCCAGAGACGGGGCAGAGTTGACTTCAGGAGCCCCGGAGACATACCTGGCGGCCTTCTGAGTGAGCTCCAGGGGGAAATCCGGGCACAGTAATTGCAGCAAGCAGTGATATTCCCTCATGGTCAGCAAATCTGTAGCGAAATGGAGAGGAAGGCGTCAGACCTCAGAGTGGGAAGTCACCGCGGTCTTTTCGGTCATTTCAGGGGTTTCAGACCTACCCTAGGTAGAACTGCTCTTTTTTAAACAAATTTTTATTGGAGGATAATTGCTTTACAATATTATGCTGGTGTCTGCTGCACATCAACATGGATCAAGATGAGTCACTATTAAGGCTGCGTTAACCCAAGGGTGAGATTTTACGATCAATATTTCTACAAAGTTTTTCCAGGATGGGAGGCACCCAGCTACAACATTTTGGCCAAAGGAGCTTCACTGGTTTGAGAGATGGTTGGGTAAGAAGGGAGAATTAGAGGGGCAACTTTATTAGCCTTCTCAGTTTGATTTTCCTGGTGTCTGAAAATCCGCAAAAATGAGTCATTTCAAAGCTGGCTAAATTTGCTGAAATTCTCTGGCATGGTTGCCTTCACCACAACATGCCCAAAGACCATGCACAGAATATCTGGAAGCAGTGCTGAGGCAGAGGCAGTCTTGCAACATATGGGGGAGAAGAATACAGCAGGGCGACCCACAGCCCTTCTTGCTCTGTCATCCAGTTCTGTGCAGGCTGGCTTCTTTTGGATGCCCACACACAAATCTGGTCATCCTACTGTAGGACGCCAAGACCCAAGATCTACAATCAAGGCGACCACATGACTCCTGATATATAGAAGCAGTGCTTTGGGAGAGATGAGCCAGGATGAGGCTCCGTGGCTCAGCAGAAAACCCAGAGAGGTAAACTCAGAGGGCTTTGTAGAAAGTCAGGGGAGAGGAAATACACTGACGCTTAAAAGTTGTTTTGGTATGATTTGAGAGAAGAGCATTGAAACATATATATTACCATATGCAAAATAGATAACCAGTGTGACTTTGATGTATGAAGCAGGGCACCCAAAGCCGGTGCTCTGGGACAGTCTGGAGGGACAGGGTTGGGAGGGCGGTGGAAGGGGGGTTCAGACAGAGGGACACGTGTACACCGATGGACGACTTATGTTGACGTATGGCAGAAACCATCACAATATGGTAAAGTAATTATCTTCCAATTAAAATTAAAAAAGAAAAAAAAAGTTGTTTTGTTACTGCGTGTCCTAAGCCTGAGGGATTTTAGACCAGTCAGGCAGCTTCAATCCACAAGTATTCCATATACCAAAGCATTTCAAATACGGAAGGACGTGCTGACGGTAAAGCAGGATGGAGCAGCCCAGAAGCCCTCCTAACTGGGAGCCTGGTGAGAGAAGGGAGCCCAGAGGGCAAGGCCACACTGAGGGAATGAAGATGGTGATCACAGGCGCTTGGTTTCTTTGGACCTAAGTTAGCTCAAGCCACAGGAATCCAGATCTCCTGTCCCTGCAAGTTCGGTTGATGCTTTTCCAAGATAAAAACCCCAAATCCCCAGGGACAGGCCTGGGTTTCCTTCTCCTTTTTCATCAAGGCTCAATTCAAGGTGAGGGCACAGAGTCAGACTAACCACACCGCTAAAGTCAGGGACAGCAAGGGGACAGACTCCGCGTCAGAGTGGGTCAGAGGACCAAGACGGCTTCTGTGGCCTCCGTCTTGGCCACAACGGGGCGTGCACTTTCCTCTCCTCACTCGCCTGACCTCGGGCACCAGCCTGGTTGGAGGTTTTGTTCTTCAGGGGAAAGAGTAACAGCTACTTGTGGACTCGCGGGCTTGGGGTGAGGGACAGGAAAAACGAAATGGAGAAAAGCCACTGAATCGAATGTGTTCCTGCTTTCTTCTCGCTCCAAAGCTCCCTGTGCAGAGAGGAGCGAGTTCTGTCTTTGAATCATTAAAGCTCTTCGAGGCTAAGATTTAGAGAGGAAATGGCAACCCACTCCAGTATCCTTGCCTGGAGAATCCCATGGACAGAGGAGCCTGGTGGGCTACAGTCCATGGGGTCACAGGAGTTGGACACGACCGAGCGACTGAACTGAATTGAACTGATGCTAAGATTTGGTGGATGGATCTGATAACATTCTTGGGGTGGGGGGGGCAAAGTATTTCCCAGTTATTCATATTTATCCCCCACATTATCTGCAAGATACTCTTGGGAAGATAAACAGTGTGAAGGAAAATGAGAAGCTGAGAGAGAGTTGTGACACCTGTCCCCCGCCCCCCACCCTGCTTAATCAAGAAAGACAACGCTGGAATGCCATCTTAGCCTCTAGCCTCCTGGTTTTCATGCCCTCAGCATTTTTAGGTTCTTGATGATATTCTAACTCATGTGTTTCAAATACTTGCTTCCTAAGGATAGAAGAATAATTTACAAAAATAATTTTGTTCTTCTCCAAAGCATTGACAGTTCTGGGGAATACTAAATACATCAGAAAAACAGAATACATCCTGTTCACCACTTCTGGAACTTGACATTCCCACACGTAAAGTGAGGAAGATAGTCAGATAAAGAGATGAGTGAAAGTGCAGGCAAACACACAGCTGTGGCTACCTTAATTGTGGAAGACAGAAGTTCTACTTCTTTAAGACAGCAGACTCAGGGTATTAAAGCAGACTCAGGATAATATCAAGGCCAGATGCTTTCAAGGGAGAGGCATCTGTCACTTGGAAACGCTCCTGGGTTGCACAGTGCGTATCTGGGAGAAGGGTGAGCAGTTCAGTCTCGTCCCCGAATCAGAGCATTGATGAGCAAAGGAGAGCTGTTCTCCTCCTGACCCTCTGGCTCGGGTTCAAACCTTGGCTCTTCGGTTCCCCAGGTGGGCAACCTTGGGCAAACTGCTCAGTCTCTATAAATCTCAGTTTCTCATCTGTGAAACGGAAATGATGACACCTACCTTTCAGGGCTCAAGTCAAGATTAAAAGAGATGATGTCTAGAAAGTACTCGGCAGAATGTCTAGAACACAGTAATGCCAAACAATAGGAGCTATTTGGTTTTGTTTTTAGTGTTCATTCATTTACTTATTTAATTTCTGACTGTGTTGGGTCTTAGTTGTGGCACTCGGGATCTTCAGTCATGGCATGGCGGATCTTTAGTTGGGCCATGTGGAATCTAGTTCCCTGACCAGGGATTGAACCCAGGCCCCCTGCAACAGGAGCATGGAGTCTTAGCCACTGGATCACCAGGGAAATCGCTTGGTTTTGTTTTTAAATCCTGGGGGCAAAGGCAGGAGATGAGAGGAGGAAGAAGTTTCTTGCTGAGTTTAAAGCTTAAACCCCTAGGAGTGTTCTGCCTTGAAAATTCTGTCAGGTTGTTTGAGTCAAACCTGTTTTTGAATATTCTTCTGCAGTCTGCATTTTATGCCTCCTCCATTCCCAGGAAGATGCCCTGGAGAAGGAAATGGCAACTCACAGCAGTATTCTTGCCTGGGAAACCCCATGGACAGAAGCACCTCATGGGCTACAGTTCATGGTGTTGCAGAAGAGTTGGACATGACTTAGCAGCTAAACAACAAGAACAACAACATATGGAGGAGGGCACGGCAGCCCACTCCAGTGTTCTGGCCCGGAGAATCCCACGGACAGAGGAGCCTGGCGGGCTGCAGTCCACGGGGTCGCACAGAGCCGGACACGACTGAAGGGACTTAGCACGCACACCATTCCCAACAAGCTGGAGGCCTCCCCAGCTCAGAGGCTCCAGCTCAGCCATTAGTTAATCCTAAATGCTCCTGCCTTTGGGTCCTTTGGCTCTAAAGAGCTCTCCAAGATCTCGAAGATCAGCCTTGCAGGCAGCCCCTTTGTACTTCAGGAATAACAACAGTGAGTCAGACAGTCACTGAGCTCTGTGCTCAGGCTCTGAAGTAGCTTGCTTAACCTCACGACAACTTCATGAGATAGACTCCAGTAGTCCCAGCGTCACTGCACAGATAAGGACATGAAGCCTTAGAGAGATGAAATTATCTAGAAAGTGGGGAGAGAAGGGTCCAGAGCGTGGGAGACAGGAGGAGCATGTTTGGCTTCCCAGAGCCCTGGCTTCCTAAGCTGGGAGGGGAAGTGAAGTGAGTTGCTCAGTCGTGTCTGACTCTTTGCGACCCCATGGACTGACTATACAGTTCGTGGAATTCTCCAGGCCAGAATACTGGAGTGGGTGGCCTTTGGGGCCTAAGGGCTGGATGGGCTTAATGATGATAATAATACTTAGGGTGAACACTTACTGGGCATTTACTCTGGACCAGACACAGTTCTTCCAAGGGTTTTACTTGTGCTGTCTCATCTAATCTTCACTGTGGTTATCCCCATTTCACAGACAAAAAAACTCAGATCATGCTTAACTGGTGGAGCTGGACTCCAAGCTCTGGCAGTCAGGCTCCAAAGTTTACCCAACTAACATTTTCCGCACCTTGATCTTATCAACGGTAATGGGTGAAGGCTTAAAAGCTTGTTGTCCACTCCAAACAAACTGTAGGGACTAAATAGCTCCAGGTGAACTAGATCAAGGAGATAATTCAAGTGATTTGGGATTTTTTTTGCATGTAAGAAATTGAGTCTGGAAGGTTCTAATTACTGTCAAAAGGAAAGACTGCAGCTCCAGCATCGCGGCCTGTGCTGGGCCGGGTCCACGGGGAGGCGGGGATGAGTACACCTGTGCGAGAAGCTACACCGCGCATCCCGCCCACTGGCCGGGACGCTCCACCCCGACAGGTGCAGGAAGGTAAGCGGTGTGCACCGACAGACGTCTTCTCTAAAGGAATCCCCCCACAATTAGGAAAGCTTCACCCAGCAGGTCCTCAAAGTTCAAAGGCAAAGACATGAGACGACTTTGGTATAAGATTAAAATCATAACATCCCCCGCAAACTGGTGCTCCTCATTTTGTGGGTGGCCAGAGCTGTTAATCTTTCTTGTTCTAAACCTCGTAGTAAGAGTCCCATTGACTGTGCCCAGCTTGAGGACCAGAGGTCTTGACCCCGCTCCATCCTATCATCTCAGGAGGCGGCTCGGTACTGCATTGTGGTGCACGGCATGGACTCTGGAGTTAGACTGCCTGGGTCCAAATCTGAGCTTTGCCACTGATTTCAAATTAA